TCACGAGGTAGGAGAGGGGTTATGCTTTTGGTGAAAGTGGGGGGGAAAAATATGGGAAATAGGTTGGTGTGTTCCCGGGGGGTGTGTCGGGAGCGAGCGCGCATGTGAGGAGGTGCGGGGCGGGAGGCATCGGCTGCGCCGGAGCCGAGCCCGGCTCGTCCTCCCTTTCTCTCAGCATCCTCCGTGATGCGATCCTGGAGGTGATACAGGCACAGCAGCATCCATGGCCTGCCCTTAGCGCCAGCATTCCTGCTTTATCCTCCGTGATATTCTGGCAGCGAACCGAGCCCGGCGTCGGAGGCGTTTGGTTAGCGAAGGGCTGACGCTGAGTGGCTGGTAACCGGGATCGTATTCTCCTGTATTTTTTCAGGCTCCTTGGAAATTGAGGAATGCAATTCTGCCACCATGATGGAAGGTAGGTGATGAGCTGAGCGTGTCTTTCGGGATGGCTGGAGTTTGCAAAGCCACGGTGGAGGATGCAGTGAACCCACGCATGGGGAGTCTTTCTCTTTCCTAAATAAAATAATATAATAATAATAATAATAATAATAATAATAATAATAATAATAATAAAATCCTCCCCTCCCCCTAATCTCAGCCCAGCTGGATCGCCGTGCCTGCTGCCGGGGAGCTGGTGGATGGTGATATAATATCAAGCCCATCAGATTATTTGCAATTCCATCCCCAGCCCTGTGTAGGCAGCTCAGGGTGTGCAAACACCCGGCTATCCATGGACCTGCCGGTTCCTCCAGAGCCCAGACCAGGGTGGGTTGGTCGGAATTGGGGATCCTGTAAGGATTATTTTATCCTCTGCCTGGAAACCCTGGTTCTCAGCCTGTCATAATGCACAGAGGATGAATTTGGCTGATTTCAGACCTGGACTCTGATGGAGTTTGGTGTTTTCAGCTGGATAGAGGAGTATCATTTGAGTAGGAAACAAGGAAATTGGAAGTTAAAGTGATTTTTACCATGTCGTGGCACTGGTTTGGAGATGCAGGCTCTGGGGAAGGGGGGGTGGGTGTTGGGTTGAGGCTTATTGGAATAAAAAAGGAAATGTGAAGGAAATCTGGGCTCCAGGCACAAGATGCTTCAGGAAGTGTTGGGAGCCTGTGTCTGATCCTGTGTGGGAAAAGCCTCTGGGCATTACAGGAATTTTATCCTGTGCCGTCTGTCTCGGCTGTATGTAAAGCTCTTTTTTTATATATATAATTTATTTTTTTAATGCCTTCTGGAGTAAGATGCAGGAAGGAATTACTTTAATTGCATTTTTTTTTTAGCAGAATAGATACTTCAGGGCCAAGGAGATCAGAATATCTATATTTTTTGGTATTATGGCCCGTTGGTGGCAGCAGCAGGGCCTGCCTCGGCAGAGCCACATCCAACCCCGGGTTTGCGGCGCTGCCGGCACATGAACCAGGCAGCTCTCGGCCTTCCCGAGATGACAGGCAGAAATTGGGCTGCCTCTTGGTGTGTCCCTGGAAATCAGGGACCTGCTGCCCTGCCCGAATTAACCTGGAAAGGTGTCAGGCTTCATGAAACCAGGATTTCTTGTATTGGTTTAAAATATTTGCCTAGTCTTGGGAATTCAGGTGTAGTCATGGCCATGTGTGGACACAGGAATGGCTTCTCCCTGGGTTTTTTTTCGTCTTAAGAAAATTAGTTTGGTTGTCCTTTGATATGAGGAAGTGCCTTCAGTGTCTTCCTTAATACCAATTAGCAAAGGAGATTTTAATTTTAACCCATGACATCAAACTCATCCTACCGTGCTGACGGACACTGCACGTTGTGAACCAGGCACAGCCTGGGCAAGAGCAGGGAATTGTAGAGAATGTGTCATTAAACAGCGTGGCTTCTCAAAAACTCCTGTATTTATGGAGGAATTAATGTAGATAAACTGAAGTTGACCTGTTATAACCTTGGTTTGGGTTATTTGATCAGTTTTGAGGCTGGTTGGGGGAAGTCTGTTGGTCTTTTTAGATTCTTTTGGGATTTGGGTGTTTTGTTTGGGGGTTTGGGTCTTTTTGTAGTTTTATTTTTATTCCTTGAGGATTTTTGCCTTGCTTATGGAATGCCCACAATGTGCTGCTGTGCAGGAGCTTTGGCCACCATGGCTGAGGCAGGTGGGGGCAGGCAGGGGGTGCCCAGCCCCATAGTGGATGTGCCATCCAGGGCTGGGGCATCCAGCTTGCTGTGCTCTGGTAGAGGTGGAATCACCTTTCATGAACCAGTCTTGCACTTAAAAAAAAAAAATTGGAAACAAAAACTAGTCATAAAAAGTGACTTATTAAACTGCTTGAGATGTTGTACCTCAACTACTTGATGCATACGGGAACCTAGAATGGAAATGAGAAAGCTAGAAGAAATGACTACTGCTTTTAATGAGTTTTAAATGGTTGGAAGCTGGTTGTATTTGTAGAAGAGTGGAACTTCTATCCAAGATCATACTGAACCACTGGCACTTGCAGGGGTGATTTATTTTAATATAAGAATGGTTTTAACATGCTCAGTTTAATTTGATCTGAAATTTCTAAACCCATACCAAATGCTGAGAGTTCCCTACAGTAAACATCTTAAAGGGGCTTTATTATAATAAATGAATTATTTAAATAACTTACCTGGCCAAAATGTTGGACACTGCTGGAAGTGGAGGGTGGAGCTGGGCTGTGACAGTGCGGGGCGTGAGGCCACTCAGCATCACCTGTGGCCAGCAGAATGAACCTGGCTCAGCTGGTGGATTTGGATCCTCCTCTTTGAAAAGAAAATGATTTGGCTTATTGGGAATGGGGCAGAATGAGCAATTTGTACTGGATATGGACATTATACTCATTTATATGGAATATTTCTTCATTCTCTTGGTAGATGGGGGGAAAGTGCATATTTTTCACTTGGTTTAGGTATCGTGATTAAAAATCATAATGATACCTAAAATAACTATGGATGCTCTTTTAAGAACCCAGTCCTTGCTGGGAGGAAACCAAAGCTGTACCATGTGGTGTCTGAGCCACCAGAAGAGGATGGTCTTCTCCCTCCATGGCATGAGGGGTGAATGAGTGTTGCTGTTGTCACCATCTGTGTTGGGGATGGATTTCCTGTGCTTGGCCTCACTCAAAGAGGTGGAAATAAGGTTTGGGGGATGGGAATTAAACCCCATCATGAGCTGGAGAGGTCCCAGCCTGTGTGACTGTAGATGTGAGAGCTGTTTAGATGTTCCCTTTGATTGTAAAACACCTCCCCAGTCCTCGGAAATGCGCTGGGCGTGTCACCGAGGTGAACAGCCGAGCACAAGAACAAGTTTGTCTCCTTTTTTAATCCCTCTGTTGCTTCTCCAGTGTAATGAAGGCATTTTACACAGCTTAAGTTTTGAAATCACTGCTGCACCATGTCACTCGAACCAGAAGCTCCACAATGTGTGGAGAGGTCAGACAGTGACGTGGCAAGTGGGAGCAGCCAAGGGTATTTTGGAGATGGTCATTTCTTCTTCCGTGGGAGATGGTCCCTGTGTTTCTCCAGACCCCAAAACAGATGTTTGCTGGGGAGAAGTCTTCTCAAAATGGGAATTTCTTTG